GTTTGAGATGCTCGCTTGCAAAGCGTTTTCCTGCAGAATGGCTGTCCCTGTTGCGCCTTATCTTCATTGACTCATCAGTGGTGACGTGGACCATCCCCTGTGGGCCAACCGAGGAAAATCATCTCCCCAAGCGTGCGATGCAACGCAGCGGGGACCGTTGCTTGACTACGGATGGCACCAACTGACACAAACGGCGAAAAGCAGCTCTCAAGGCAGCACGACGAACCAAGCTGAGGCAATGTCCTCTTCGGCCCGCTTGGGGAGAGCACTGGGAAGTGCAAACAGAGGCGAAGATGTCGGCGTGGATATGAATTGCTCACCTGAGCTGAGCCAATTGCTGCAAGTCCAGATTGCCTTGAAGCGATGCTAAAAAAGAATTCGGGACACTTTGAGGAAGAAGGAGGACCTCGCCAAACTTTTTGGTCTATACAGAGGTAACCAGTTATAGTTTATATATATATATATACACAGATACATGTGCAACATAAAGATGACTCCAGATTTTTTGCGCAGGCAGTGCTGGCTGCAGCACAGAGCATAGCTCTGGACGCGCTGCTGCAACCTGGCAATAGACCAAAAGGAGAACAAGTCAGCATGACTGCCGAGCTTTGCGTATTCTCGATTTGCGCTACTCCAGGTAGATGGAAGCTCCTTATTCACACCAGTCCAGCCGGCTTGGGCTCGACCTGATGTGAAGCCAAAGGAGGGCGATGTCGCTCGCGTGATTTGCTTTTGGATGTATGTCCATGCTTTTGGCTATCGTTATGTTTATATGTATAGACTTTTTGTGGCAGGTTCCTTTTGGCAAACTTTGAAATCGCGCCGGTCATTTCCAATGGGTTTGCGTGCGGTTCGAGCAAGCATTGCGAAGGAGCTCTTCCGCAGCAACTCAGACTTGGCTTTGAAGCCCAAAAGCAAGGGCGTTCTTGAGCGGCGTCCTGAGCTTCCAAAGCCCAAAGCCAAAGTCCCTCCACGAGGGAAACCCCCAGGCACGCGGTCGACTTGTGTGTTCTCTGAGCTCCTTAACGTCACAAGACATCTTCCAATTCTATCCACAGCACCTTACAAATGTACGCAAACGTCCTTTTAAAGGACAATCAGGTTGGCGCAGCAGCCACTTGCAAATCCCATCAACTTCCTTTGTTTTCCTCTTGTGTTTGCTCATGGTTCTCAGACATAGTGAGGATTTCTGGATTTCTTATTGAGCTGTTTCTCAGATCGTGGACAACAGCGGACCTTGTTGACAAGCATGCTAGTTTTTGTGCAGGTGGGCCTGTGCAACACGTACCTTGGTTGAGTCCCAATGCTTCACCCCTCGATGTTTTTCGTTTTTCTGGTCACGTTCTGGAATCGCTCGGCTGAAGCTGGCTGGTTTGTTTCAACATCCGCCCGATCGGACAGTTGTTTTGGCCTCCCAGTTTCGCCCAACGAAATGCCCAAGGCTCCAAGCAACAGCGGCTTGGCGGCCAAGGCTTCGGACCATGCGCATTAGTAGCTGGAATTGAACGCGTCCTAAGGAGTGAAGGAGCAACTTCCCGATAGTGCCAGAGGCGACGTCTTTGAGAGGCTTGCCTCGTGCCAAAAGCGTCACTTTGCTTAACCTATGATGGGGAAGACTTCAGCCTGTGACACAGATGGCAAATTGACATGACCGCAGCAAAGATCAAAAGCTAGCAGATAGCTGCTGCCGACTAGCTGGCCCTCCTTCCAATGGCTCAATGGGGCAGACGGGTGTGGTGAGACCCAGACAGGAACTGAGAGCAGAGATATGCTCACACACGATGTGGTGCAGGCTAGAATCTACTAAGCCAAAATCCTGCCGCTCCACCGGCAACTTTCAAGCCTTGGTCCGACATGAAAGGGAACGGAGAAGGAAGTGGACATGCATGAAACCTTATAGCAAAAGGAACCTAATAGGAATGGCCTCCAACCTATTAAACAAAAATATATATATTGTGAGTTTCGCCAGTGAGTTCACTGTCAGGTCGATCGATCAGAGCATTCGCCATGTCAGCACAACGGCCCAAAGCCAAACGGCCTTTTCATGATAGGCCAAGAGGAGCCGATCGGTCCAATGCTTACAAGGAAGACACACACAAATCGAGACAAAGCAGAACATGGAGCACATGCATAACATGTTTCACTAAACCTTTGGTTTGTTCGCGGAAAAGAGCTTCTGTCCGCTTCGCTGCCAGTGCTTCGCACTGGTAGCGGAGCTACCTTGTGCCATGGCGACAGATGCTGGTAAGTTCTGGAAAGATGATGAGATCATTGTTGATAAAGATGGAATTCCCCACTACACTGGACTTCGCCCCGAGTTGATGCGTGAATATAGGAAGAGAGTCCTTTTCGCATTTTCGATGCTGGAGGGAGATGGTGACACACCGGAGAAGGAGGCCAGAGATCTAGAGAAGAAGAAGCGCCGTTTTGCAAAGCGCTTGATGGACGCCCTGCATGGTGAAGCATGGCGATGTTGTCAGGACCTCCTCATGGACATGGACACGCTCCAGAAGCCTGACGGCTACAAGGCCATCTTCAAGGCCCTTCAGACCATCGAGAAAGTGACTGTTGTCAGGAAGACCGAAGAGTTTGACAAGTTCTTTGAGCGAGGATTCAGGCGACGAGGACAAGCTCTTGACACCTACCTCCGTTCCCGTCGACAGGACTGGCATGAACTTCAGGAGCTCGATGACCAGACTAGCATGAGCCCCGATTTACTGGCTTACTTCATCCTCAAGCAGTGCAATTTGAGCAAAGAAGATCGTCGACAGATTTTGCTGGCCAACAATTCGAGCTATGATCTGGATGGTATTGAGAGAGCTATGCGTGTGAGCTTCTTCGACATCCACGAGCGTGAGAAAGTGATGAAGCCGTCTTGGGATGCTCGTTCCAAGGGTCAAGGCAAGCGCAAGCAGTATGCCCACATGGCTGACGAGTATGACATCCTAAAGGATGACCCCATTGAAGAGTTCGATGATGACCCTGAGAATGAAGACGCTCTTGAGTATGCCAACCAGGTTGAAGATGAGCCGGAGATTGAGTTCGACGATGGTGAGCCAGATTTGCAGTCAGATGCCGGAGCTTCGAATGATGAAGAGATCTTCAATGCCTACACCACCATGGACAAGCAGCGTCGTTCCTACAAGGATTCAAGGAAGCGCCTTCGTGAGATTCAGAAGAACCGCGGCTTCTACAAGCAAGGTGACCCTTCAGAGAGAGCCGCAGCCATCGAGAAGGAGAAGGCTCGCACTCGCTGTTCTGCCTGTGATCGCATTGGTCACTGGGCAGGAGATCCAGTTTGTCCCAAAGCTGGAAAAGGTGGTCCGAAGCGAGGAAAAGGATCCAGTCGAAAAGGAGGTGGAAAGGGTGGCAAGAAGGCTCGCGCCTATCTTGCTTCAGAAGAGCCTTTGTTCTTCGTGCTGGATGACTCGGAGGAGGAAGCCCAGGCCTACATGGTCAAAGACGACTCGGAGAAGAATGAGATGGAGCAGGATGCCGGATGGACCGAGCTTGATGGGCGTCGCAAGGTCGCCAGCTCGGCGGCGTCCCAATCGTCTGAGGGATGGTCCAAGGTGGAGGGCTATGCAAGCCTTGGGAATGATGCACCACCATGGCGCCCAGATCACACCTTCTCATCACCGGCTACATCGACTGTGGAGAAGGACACCTTGTTCTTGCCGGTCAATCCACCTTTGCAGCGCCAGATGCCAGTCATCGTCAAGGAGGCTGGAGTCTACATCATCCAGGTGAAAGATCGTGCCATTCTTCGCCCAGAGCTGGATGAGATGACGCATCGACAGCTGCAAGAAGAGTTGAACAAGTATGATTTGAGAGTTTCCGGCAACAAGGCAGAGCTTCGATCCCGCATGGAGTCGTTCTTCAACGGTGAGCCTGTGCATCGCAAGGGATGCTCTCGTCAGTTCATCATGCTAGAGGAGCTTGATCCATCGGCGCCGGCCCCAAAGGCTATGCCTCAGAGTCTCAAGCAGTCGATCCCTGCGAAGAAGAAGGAAAGTGCAAAGGCATCGTCTTCGACAGTTGAACATGCAAGGTTCGTGCGAGAAGTGGAGGATCCAAGTGAGAGGGACAGCCGTTTCTTTCGAAGTCCCACAGCCGCATCATCACCTACCAGAGCCGCAGCAGTCATCGCTGACATGGAACGAGTGGGAACTCTTGTCTCTCCTACCAGGTCGCCAACAGCCACGACTACGCCGAAGACATCATCACCTGCAACACCAAGTCGCCTTCCGTTGCAGACTGGCGAGATTCTACCTGGTGTGCCTTGTGAAGTTTGCGGTGCAGACTTGTGTGTCCGTCAGAACCGCGCAAAGCTCAACCTCTTCATCGGCTGCACGGCCTATGGACGCACAGGATGCTGATTCACCTACACCTACGATGAGGGACTGGCAGCGGCCAACTTGGCTCGCCGCCAGCGCGGCCTGTGAACAGCTAGAAGGTGAAATGGTGCAAGAGAACTCAGGCAATGAGCCCAATGATGCTGCCAATGAAGTGGACAACGCGAACATGAAATCAATGAACAATGCTGGACTGTTTTTTGATGAAAGTTTTGCAGAAGAAGCCACTGCGAAGGACGAACGCCGAGTGTGTCTTCTGGATACCGCTTGCACGTCATGTATGCACTCCAAAGCATGGCGTGAAGCTTACACCAAGCACCTTCCTGGAGATCTTGTTTGTGAGCCGACGGATGAGACCAAGACCTTTCATTTTGCAGATGGAGGCTCAACGGATGGTAAGATTAATGTTTGGAAGATTCCTTTGGTCATTGGTGGGCGAAGAGGCATGGTTTTCAGTGCCGAGGTGCCCACCGGTTCAACACCGCTTCTTTTGTCGATTGCTGCTATGGAAGCACTTGGTATGACCTTGTTTATGAAGGAGCGCATGGTGTTGATTGGCGCCTTAGATGTCAAAGTCCCCATGTTGAAGACCAGAACCAAACATCTTGCTTTAGATGTGACTGGAAGTGTTTCAGTTGACAGCCATGAGCGGGAAGCACCACTCTGCCAGTCACACAACAACGACCTCTACCTGTACTTGGTCGAGGAGGCCTCATACCAGATCGGTGAAGGGCAGTTCTTTGAGACCCTGCCTGATTTTCCAGTGAAGATGAGTTCGGAGCATGAGTTTGCTTTGAAGTTGGGACCTCGAGGTGTTTTTCCACAAGACCATCGAGGGGAGTTGAAGCCCAGAAGACATGAAGAGCTTGAACGGTCGAGCAAGCAGTTGAGGAACCTTGATCGTCGGACCTGGACAGCTTTGAAACACAGATATACCTATGCAGAAGAAGCAGCCTCACACCAGTTCCAGACGACCATGATTTTCGAGCCCTTTGGTGGTACTTTCGGCATTACGAGAGCTGCCACACGCTCTTACGGCTGGACGTGCTCGCAACCCCTAGACATCTTAGATGGCTATGATCTTTTGTCCTCAAAAGGTGAGCGACTTTTGTGGCGCACACTTGATGAGCGCAATCCCTACCTCACGGTCCTTGCCTTCGATTGTCGGTTGTGGTCATTGTTGAACAACCTCACCTCCAAGGCACAGACTCGAGAGCAGCTACAGCAGCTTCGAGAAGGCGTGGGTAGAAAGACATTGCTTTTGGTGTACCGGGTCTGCAAACACCGGTTCAAAAGGGGTCGATACTATTTAATCGAAAATCCTGCTGGAAGTTTAGCTTGGATGTTTGATGAACTTCTTCCACGACTACTTCATGAATGTGAAGGCAAATACATTGTTTCAGATCAGTGTGCCTACGGCAAGATTGACTTGGAGAGCCTTCGTCCCGTGAAGAAACCTACTGGATGGCTTTCTAACAATGAACCGCTTCTCAATGCACTCGGGAAGCGATGCAAGTGCAAATGGGGTTCACATCAGCTGACCTTGGGAAGAAACTCCTATGGACCTCGGGCACGACAAGCCTCCGCTTATCCTCCCAAGTTGTGCCTGGCAGTTTGTCAAGGTGTGTTGAACTCTATGAAGATCGACTATGCACACCGCGCAGCTTTTGACCTCAGTTACCCTGCATTAGATGAAGACATGGAAGAGCAAGCTGAGGAGCCAGACATCGAAGTGGTGGGTGACGAGCCCGCTGGAGACGCATGGGAGAAAGGTGAAGGCAAGATTGTTCGTGTGCATTTATTTCCAAGGACAAAGTTGTTTTCCCCCATGAGCACAGATGATTTGCCTTGTGATTTTCGACAGTTGCTGCCTCAGCGTGTGACTTATTTGGAGTTTGAAGACGGCGCCACAGAGGTTTATTGTGATGATTGGGTGGACCTCAATGGTCCCTACAAAGATGGGAGACCATGGCGAGGAAAGACAGAAATTTCCATCCAACCTCTGGAAGAAGATGCCGAGCCTGATGCAGTTGAGCAGAACATTCCATCAGCTGCACCTCCAAAAAAATGAACAGCTGGTCGAAGCAGAACCTCGAGATGAACCAGTTCCTGCGACACCAGTTGGTGAAGGGCTCAGAACTCCAGGTGGCACCATGAGGAGAAAGAGACCGAGAACCAGACAGCTTCAAAGAGGTTTCTGGCAACAAGTCGACAATGCCAATACCAAGGAGGCCATGGACAACGCCAAAGAATGGTTGGTCGAAAGAGGTGGCACAGATTGGCAGTTGATTCCTCTTGAGGAGGAGCTGGGCAAGATGTGGGCGTCGCAGGAATCAGCCAATGCAGATGTTCTTTTGATTTTCTGTGCAGCAAACGCTCGAAAGCTCAGGAAGTGCCAACCTTTTGCATCACCTGCTGAAGCTACACTCCGGAAATCGTTGTTGCTACTCGGAAATGAGGTACATGTTTGAGCACAGGTTGGGAAGAGTGGACACAGTTGGCCCCATCTAGCCAGACAAGACCTTTAGTTGCAGAAGGACGTGAACTTTGCGTCATTTTGTTTGGCCGCCCGTTGGGCGAGGTGGAGCAGCCTGATGCAGATGATCCAAGAGCTCGAGAACGCGAGGTTTGGAGAGCTCAGAAGTGGCAGTCCTTGCCACGAGAACTGAAACTTGCAATCCGAAGAGTTCATGTAAACTTGGGTCATGCACCAGTTCCGCAGATGCTCAGAGCCATGAGAGTTAGCAGAGCTTCAGAAGTTGCAATCAGAGCCACACGACTTTTCCGTTGTCCAGATTGCCCCCGCATACAACAGCCGAAGCATCCTAGACCATCGAAACTGCCTTTGACAGAGGAATTCAATGCTTGTTTGGGTCTTGACATTTTGCAATGAAAGGATGCAGACGGACAGAGTTGGTCTTGGTTGAATGTTTTGTGCCAGGGTACAACATTTCAGCTTTGCATGTTGCTTGATGAAACACATGCCAACCCCACAGCTGCCACAGTTTTGCGTGCTTTTGAACAAGGTTGGACTAGTTGGGCAGGATACCCGGAGCATGGCATTTTCTGTGATCGTGCAAAATATTTTCTTGCAGATTTTTCAGAGGCCTTAGCCGCCGAAGGGTGTTACTGCGACAGTGCAGCCAAAGCATCGCCTTGGCAGTTGGGACAAGTTGAGAGGCATGGAGCAATCTGGAAGAGCATCATGAAGCGTGTTGTTTGGTCACAACAATGTGCTGGGAGAGAAACCATGATTCATGCACCAGTGCAGTCAACCAAGCAAAGAATAACCTAGTGAGGAAGTCGGGATTTTCTCCGGCGCAGTGGGTGTTGGGTCGTTCGATTCGCCTGCCTGCAGACCTCACAGATGACGCAGAAGCAATCCGTTTAGGAGCCTTAGCATTGTCTACAGTGCCCACAGGTCGTTTTTACCAGAAGGCCAAACTTCGTTTCGCAGCTCGTGAAGCGTTTGTTCAGGTGAGCAATTCAGAGGCATTGAAACGTGCTGAGTTGAGAAGAGTCAAGCCTGCTAGAGGACCGTTTCCGGTCGGGTCGTACATCTTTTATTTTGATGCTTCAGATCAGACACCAGGTCCTGAGTGTTGGCGTGGCATTGGTCGGGTGATTGGACATGAGGGTACACATACAGTTTGGATTTCGCATCGTGGTATTTTGATTGCCGTTTCTCCTGAACATTTGGCCCATGCTTTTGATGAAGAAGTCAAACAGTGGTTGACCATTGGGACAGAGATGGAGTTGTTAGATGCGCAACCTGCTGCCGGTGGATCCGGATTCATTGATCTTCGCAAGATGCCCAAACCGCCAGTTGAAGGCTATGCGCCTGCAGACGATGAGAAGCTGGAGGACTTGCCGGAGTAGCCAAACCCGGCAGACATGGAATATGAACCTTCAATAGCTGAAGCAACACCTGCACTAGAGATTCCTCAAGTTTCAGCAGAAGATGTTCCCTTGCCCGTTGAACCGCAACCTCTTTCACCGTCCAAGCGTAAAGATGAGGACATGAGTTCTGGCTCCACATCCATGGCTCGAATGCGTTACGAGTCCGAACGTGACGCAAAGAAGGCTAGACGGGATTCGGAGTTCTTTGCCAAGAAGGAGCGTGAGAGGAAGCAGGCTCGCGAAGAGCGGTCGAGGAGAATTCTGTTGGAGGAACAGCAGCGTGCAGCCGCAGCGCCTATTCCTGAATATGATCCAGAGCTTGATGATTACCATCAATCATCACCTTCGAAGAGATTGCCTGTCGTTGCCGAGAGCCCAGAAGTTGAGACACAAGAGCGAGAAGCCAAGCGGCTTCGTGGCGATGACATTGACGCAACAGCTGAGGGTGAGGGTTTGTTTTGTTATTTGGTCATTGAGCAACCGCGTTTGTTGAAGCGCAAAGCAAAAGCAGCATACTTTGCCAAGGAGCTTGAATACGCATTGCTAGGCATTTCCTATGACGATTTCATGTTTGGTTTTCGTCGCAACCGCTTTGACAGGCACTATGAGGAGATGTATGATTTTGCAATGAATGCAACACCTGGCACAGCTGCAGGCAAGAAGCGTGGGAGAAAGGAGATTCTTTTGCGTGAGTTGCCCGAAGAGCTTAGCAAGTTGTTTACAGACGATGGCGAATCAGATGAGAAAGAGTGGCGTGCTTGGCAAGAGAAGGGTGCAGTTGATGTTTTGGATGAAACGTCGAGTCGAGAGATTCGACGGTTGAAGCCGGACCTGATAGTTCCAACACGTTGGGTTCGTACAAACAAGTCCGAAGGGTTGGAAGACAAACCTTTTCAAGCCAAATCACGACTGGGTGTGCAAGGGTTCAAAGATCGTTCACTTGGCCATTACAGAAGGGATGCCCCTACAGCAAGCGCTTTAGCAGAGAGCATTTGCCTAGCAGTTTCCGCAAACCTTGGTTTTACTGTCATTTCCAAAGATGTGCGCAACGCATATTTCAGTGGAAAGAGTTTAGACCGGGAGGTCTACTTGGAACAGCCCAAGGGTGGACTGAGAGGACTGAAGCCTGGACAGTTGTTGCTTGCCCGCAAAGCAATATATGGTTTCAGCGAGGCAGCTCGAATGTTTTGGGTGGCGCTCAAGGAGCACCTGCAATCTGACGGTTGGGTTGAAAGCAGATTGGAGCCTGCATTATTTTACTTGCGTGAGCAGGGACAGCTTCGAGGAATCTTGGTGACGCATGTTCATGACATTGAAGGTGGCGTTGATCCAAATTACCTTGATGTTGCTTTTCGCAAGTCGAGTCGTGCATTAGAGTTTGCAACAAATCATTTCAAGGAGTTTGTTTTCCGAGGCCGTGAAATCAAACAGCATGAGTCGGGTCACATTGACATTGCCATGCGGAACTATTCATTGAACACAAAGAAGATTTCCATTTCCAATGTTCGCAAAGCACAAGTTGAAAGTTCACTGACAGAATCAGAGATGAAGGATTTTCTGACAGGTGCTGGAGAGCTTGGCTGGTTGACGCGACAGCTGAGATGCGATCTTGGATACGAGAATGGAGTCGTTCAGCGTTCAAAGACTGACGCCTGTGTTGGCGACCTCACCAAGTTGAAGCAGTATCTTTCCATGGCCCGTCGAGGAGCTGACTTCAGGATGAGATATTGGTCGGACGTTGACCTTCGCAACGGTGTTCTTGTTCATTTGGCTGATAGTGGTCATGCAAACGGCGCGCCCGAGAAGGACGAGATCATGAGATACAGAAGTGTTGGTGGATATTTTCTGTTGATTGCCAATCCAGAGAAGTTGAAGCTGGTGATTGGTGCATTTGTTTGCTGGAGGAGGCCTTGAGTGGGGAGTTGAATCTGAAGGACTGGCCTGCTGTGATCCAAAGGAGGAAGAGGGTCTATGTCACTGACGCTCGTTCTGTCTACGACTGCCTCCAAAAGGACGCTACATCCACGTCGACAGACAAACGGATGGCATTGGAGGGAGCGTTGTTGAGAGAGATTGTGAGACAGCCTCAAGCCTTTGTTCGCTGGATAGATGGCATGCAGAATGTTGCAAATGTTCTGACGAAGTCTGGAGCCGAGAAGGATACATTGCGAGAATTCCTTCGTGAAGGCATGATGTCGTTAGTTCAAAGTGAAGCCAACAAGAAGATCAAAGAGAAAAAGGGGGCTGATCGTCATCGACGCAGCGTCGAACTGGACAAGCCTACCAAGAAGCGAGAGGCCAATGTTCAGAGAAGACGAAAGCTGGCAGAAGAACTTCAAGGAGTTGATGTCTCCAGTGGCTCTGATCGAAAAGAAAAAGAATGAGTGTGAGTTTCGCCAGTGAGTTAGTTCACTGTCAGGTCGATCGATCAGAGCATTCGCCATGTCAGCACAACGGCCCAAAGCCAAACGGCCTTTTCATGATAGGCCAAGAGGAGCCGATCGGTCCAATGCTTACAAGGAAGACACGCACAAATCGAGACAAAGCAGAACATGGAGCACATGCATAACATGTTTCACTAAACCTTTGGTTTGTTCGCGGAAAAGAGTTTCTGTCCGCTTCGCTGCCAGTGCTTCGCATATATATATAGTAGCCATGGCCTCCAACCTAATAGTGATGGAAATGAATGACGGCCGCATTCAGCCGCACATGGATGACAGCCGCACCGCTTTTCATGTGCAGCCCAGGTGAAGCTTTAAAACCCAATCGAGGGCAGGGAGTGCCGGAGGTGCTGCAGAAGTGTTTGTTTTGAGCGTTGGTTTTTCTTCCTTTCAATGATGGATGTCCATAAAAACAATGGGAACATATTGTCTCAAACATAGACCATTGACGCTTAAAGTTTCCTCTGGCTCGACTCATCCATGATCTGAAATTGGGACATCGTGCGACTGAAATACCAGCAGTTGGGCGGCGGAGTATGTTTTGGATGATGACTAGGCGGTGGTTTCGGATATTTTTCACCTTTGCTTGGGATGATTGAACTCACTGACCAATATTATTCGAATGAGTTAAAGCCACCAACCAGATGAAGAATCCCATCCTCCACCACCCATGCCAGGACCACAAGAAGGTGCCGCTGGCTGTGCCACTGGTGCGCGCGTTCCGCGACCCTGCGTTGGAAGTTCGTGTGATGGAGTTGCCGCCCAAGATGCTCGGAGCTGCGGAAGTCTGTGGGGCGACGTGAACGGATGTCAAAGGACAACACCTAAGTTGCCTTCCATGGAATTGAATTTTACTTGAGCAGATTCAATTACCCTTAATTGCACATGCACATCCAGTACCTATTGCAGATGGAGATCATCATATAAGATTGGACTTGCCTTCGGCACGTTGCCGCCCGCTGGTTGAACGCCTCCTCAAGCATCGTGCAGGTGTCCGAAGAGTGCCAGCTTTCACCTTGAGACCAAGAAATTGGCCGAACATCACCAAGCATTGAAATCGGTCAAAAGCTTGTTCTTTATGGTCCAAGTCCCCTCAGCTACCAGACTTCTTGGGCGCTTTGGATCGTTTGGGTTCCGGGACCAAGGGGCTTCATCTCTCTGTTTGGAGGACGTGCCAATCCAGACCTCCAATCAGAGGTAGCAGCACTGCTTCACAACTCACCAGAACTGAGAACGCATACTACTTGGCAGACGTTTTTTTCGTGTGTGTGACCCTCAATAGTACAATAAGCCCAGGTATAACCACAACAACACAGCACTGTGCAGTCCGATCTGAGGAATCCAGAGGAGGGCGGAGAACTTCCCGGGCAATTGAATCTGATTGGTGGTCTTGATTCAAAAGTACAGTGGTTTCAGAGTAGATGGCACAATTCCCAAAAGGTGTGGCAAAATGGACCCCTATACAAAAGACATTTTGGCTTCAGTTTGTGCCATCTACTCTTCAATCCACAACAAGTCTAAGGTGATACTTGTCGCACTGTGTTCAGTGGATTGCTTGGCACAGCCAGTGAAGCTCACATGCAGTGCAATAGAATGTCAGCTGTGCAGGAGAACTATGCAATCTCAGAGTATGGTGGGGACTCTGAAGGCCATTTGAATATTCTGGAAGTCGGTTCTTGTCCACCAAGTCCTGGAAGTTTCCCTCAAGTTTTCCAGGAAAGCACCAGTTTTATTACTTGTTTGCCTGAATTTCCTCTAGTCTGTCAAGGCGAAGATGCAGCTGAAAGAGATAAAATCAGGCAGGCGAAGCCGATCCCCGCATGGTGTGAACCTTGTCAGCAACTTGCTCTAGAGTGAGCAAGCGCCACATGCCACTTTCCAATATTTCCAAGACAGATTCTTTTTTTGTTTGGATAATTTGTTCGATGCTGCTCCATGCTTGCCTTAGGAGGGCTACTTTTCGTGCATCCAAAAGCAGGCTGCAATTGATCCAGACACTATCTTCGGCAAAGTGCCTAGATGTGCAAGGGGCCCAGCTTCCAGATCCCTACAGATTGCAAGCACAGGAAGAGGCAGAGGTTCATTACTACAGGCCTTGGTTTGTCCTGGGCACTGTGCCAAGGTCATGGAGGATGTTTTTCCAGAATCTATTTATGTGCAGGCTCGTCCTTGCTGTGCAAAAATCGATAGCTTTGGACGTGTGGTAGGACAACTTGCTTTGCTGCAAAGCCCGCTTGAGCCATACTAAAAGTACGAGGCCTGTATATCAAGATCCTCAAGATCCATCAGATAGAAGTAGCCCATCCCCTCCAGATGGTCGCAACCTGGTCCCGCTTTGCAAACCCCCCCTACACACTACACTCCAGTCTCCAGTCCAAACACCTCATGCCCCTTCCAAACGCTTTTCAAACCGCGTGCAGATGGGCAAGAAGCGCCCCGCACGGCGTCGGGGATCCAGTGGCGACTGGCGAAGGGATCGGCTGACACGGAGCGAGATCCGCACCTACAAGCAGCGGTGCCTGCGCAGTATGATGCGGCCGGGATGGTGTGGGATTGTTTGAAAGGGGGTATGGGTGGAGCAAACCACAGAGTCTTGTTTACTGTAAAGGTTTCGGTCCAGTTCTCTCAAGATTTTTCTTAAGGTTTGAATGTATCCCTTCATTCTCGTAGCTTTTCTTGTTTTGTCCTTCTTCTCCCTTCTCGCTCTTTTTCTCAGCAATTGTGTTTATCCCTGTCTTCATCATTCTTCATTTTTTTTTGAGTCAAATTGCTTTGCCGGGTTGTGGGGGCCACGCGGGCAACGCAGAGCTTTTTGTGTAGCAACTCCATGCCATGCTTCGAGCTCTGCTCACGCGGTCCACAGAGCTCGGCCAAGAACAGAACTGGAAACATTATGAGGGCAATCCGATTAGCTCAGCACAATCCAGCTGTTTCGTCCATCACGTCATGTCTTCAGCCTGGTGATGGCTGAGGATGGGCCAAAAAAGAAGTCGCTTGGTTGCAGAAGCGTCTTTGCACAGAGAAGCCAGCTAAGCAGAGATGCACGTGGTTTTATTGCCCAAAACTATGCAAATCCTTTGGCTCAGTCTTAGAACTTGAGCGGGCAACATGGTTTCTGCCGCTTTCCAAATCTTTGTTGCTGCATGCATTTTGCCTGCGGCACTTGGTGACAATGAGACAGCACTTGGGCTTTGGCAAGGTCCCTGTGCCCGGGTAGTCAGTTGTCCAGGCTGACGCTTGAATTCACTGCCCAAAGTGAAGGCATTTCTGAAAGAACGTGGCAATGTTGATGCATATCCATCGGTGGAGGTGACTTGGCAACGTGGGCATGATCCTGAATTAGAGCTTTGGGCATGCAATGGAAGCCCTCCCAGCAGCATGGCCAAGTCAAATCTAGAGCCATCGGCACGGATCGCGCTGTCTCCGTACCAAACAGCTGAATTGCATTTCTTGCTACAATGTCATGGCATTCAACCAGTACCAGGAAGCCCGGCACCAAGGGTGCCCACAGGCGAAGATGCTTGCGAACGGATTGCAAACATCTCTGCGTGGCAGCCATGGCACTGGCTGTCCGCCACTGCGGCTGTGGTTATTCCCCTCATCCTGGTCTACAGATGTTGCTGTCATGGCGTGCGGCGTCATAAGGCCAAGCTAGATGATGGAGCAGATGAGCTTGGAGCTGCCATCTAGTGACATGAGCAAAATATGGGGGGAGCAGATTCCACCGCGATGTCGAATATCAAGAAAATATCAAGGGATTCTGTAAAGCTAGCAGCTAGCTTCATGGGTTATGGACTTCAGACTAACCATGCTCTGTGAAACCTAAGCATTCCCACCCACACCACCTGACCAATGAATCAATCTGACGTCGCTGCTGCACAATCGTTTTCCGCATGCACAATACAATAGGCGAGTCAATTGCAGGTTGAGACAAGGGTCAAAGTCACCCACAGGAGTCTGGGATGTGCTATTTGTATGGCTGATGAAGCTGTCCAAAATCACCTGAAGAATCTACACCTCCAACAGCAATAGGCAATAGGTTTCAATTGCTGATTGCTTAACAACACGGAGCCACATTGCCAGATGTGAGTTCAAAGGTGGTGGACAGTTGATTGCACATACAGCTTAGCAAGTTCCTGAAGTCTGTAGAGCCCGACGGCACAGTGCAAGGCCATTGGAAGTCGGTTCGGGTCTCCCTGGTTGCGTACTTGGTGTCAATTGCTCAAAACATATCGAAGCGTAGCCGTGTAGCCTTTTAGTCGGGCAATGCCGCATGAGACAGAGGCAAAATTCTTGAGCATCACATGAGACACTGAGGGTAGTCGAAAGACATTTTGCAACTCTCAACTGCTCACACATATCAACGAGGACGCTACTAGGAGCGAGGTGCATCGCTATTAGGAGCAAGAAGCTGCTAGGGGCTCCTGGCATCGCTACTAGGAGCAAGGACGCCACATATCCCAAACATTGCAGAAACATTTCACGACAACTATCCATGATAGATTCGTTCCAACCCCGGGCCATGTGGTGCTTTCCGTGGTCTATTTTGGCCATCGGACCCTTGAGGGTTTAAAAGGAAACATACAACATAGAGAATTCATAGAGAACTTTCTTAGATTCCCCACGCAAGACCATGTTGTGTTTTCAATGGAAATGATAGTCAAAAGGAAAGGAGCGCATGGCATGCATCATCATCTCTCTTCCCCTCCTTTCCGCCCCTGCCACATATGCCTATTGGTCATCAGTTGTTAGGTCGAGACATTAAGATTTAGATTGTTTCACAGTGCTTTGCGGTTTTTGATACCCAGGTTGGGATGAGCCAAATGCTGACCTGGTTTCCAGCATAGCTTGAGGTTGGCATGCAGCCGGCATGCGGCATGCGAAGATATCTAGAGACGTGCGACATGGATGTTCTTTGTTTGTGGATCACTGATGATTCCAAGACTTGGATCACAAGACCCTCTTGGATTCCCCTGCGCAAATACCCTTGTCGCAAATCACCCAACTCTGGCAGCAGGTCATGTCGCAATCAAGGCTCTTCTCTTGAGCGTGCATAATTCGATGCCATAGCTAATCTCACGACATGCACCCTGACTATATGCTGCCCCTTTGAAACTAGTCCACATCTCAAGGCTGATAACTTGTAAGCTTAAGCCAAGGCCAAGAAATGTCAGGATGCCTCGGATGGCTGCGAGTCTCAAGCCAAGCAATGTCAGCCTTTCGTGGTAATTCGTTTTGCGCACCGCATTGGCGTCTGACCTGTCCAGTTTGATGCTTCTGCTAGGCCCCAAAAAAGCGACCAGTTGTGTCACAGCGACAGAAGCCTGAAACAGGCTCACTGAGCGAATCCTACTGCGCAGTTTGTGTTGGGCCTCGGGGTTTGCATGATGTGGAAGCACTGGTGGTGATGTACACATGGATGTGACCTGGAGTCAGGAGGAATCATGAATCAGGACCCTACCAACCCCCAAAAATTATGCTTTTGGCTGATGTGTGCAGTCGGTTCAAGCAGTTCAAAGATCGGCCTCCATTGATTCCAAGAAGATGCCCAAGCAGATCACTGTGTCTCGGTCTTATGAAAGTCTCATTTCACCATGAGATTCTCATCTCTCCAGTGCTCAGTACTTTGGACAGGACTTCTGCATTGTGAAAAGATAGAATGTTTCATTCGCACCTCCGCACTGTCTACTAGGAGCAAGGACGCTACTAGGGGCTCCTGGCCTTACTACTAGGAGCAAAGGACGCTACTAGGAGCTTGATAATAGCGGCTCAGGAGGGGTTCTGGAAGTTTGTTTCTCTTCAGCCGTACTAGGGATTTTCTGGTTCCCTTGGCACATCGGGGAAAACCGCAGCCCAACATAGGCCGACTCCCGGAAAAAGCAACAGGACTCCAGGGTCACAGGTTTGTGGAGGATTGGTCTTTGCTGCATGAGAAAAGGCCATAGACTTATGCCTTGATGCTTCATGAAATACTGTTCAATTGATATATGTAGGCAGGCGCCATAGGCTTTTCTTGTTCAACTGACTCGGCCAAGGAGATTCGCCAGTTCTTGCAGATCGCTCGTCGCAAGGTCGGGTTGCACTTTCCAGAATTTGCACTTCCAATTCACTTCATCATCCAGTGAACGGTTTGTGGAATGAGAATATAAGTAGAAATCCCAAAACAATCTATATACTCTTCTGCAGACATACGTAGAAGCACAGAGGCATTTTTTTTTTGAGGATACATGTTAGCAGAGCCCCAACTAAAGAAAAGACACTAACTTAGAAACCACCGCTGCTTGACTACAGCAGCAGCTGCAGTGCCATGTTAGTGGTACAATGAGCGTTTTTTTGAAAAAAACACTAACCTAGCAGTCATCCAATTTTGGCAGGGTCACGGTCTATCCTGGGAAGAGACGTGTATGTGTCTCAATTGCTTTGCAGCCAGACATATAGCTTTGCAGTGCCATGTATATAGGCCTTTTTTAGTCCCTGGCTTCCATGTATAATATAAGAGCGGAAGTGTATACTGTAATTACTGTAGACCGTTCGTGCTTGTTGGCGTTGTGACCTTGGAGCATGGTGACTTGGAGAAATGCCAGACCGCAGAGCACGCCACGGAAAACAAAGGGTGACTTGGAGAAATGGATGCAATTATCTAAGTAGCAAGACCTAGCAAATTGAAATTGAACAAAGCTCCTGATCCAGATGGAGCCTACACTGAACTCTTCAAATACTCGGATGTGGAAAGTATCAAAAACCTCGATGAGGCCCTCAAGCCAAAACACGTCAGTTCAAAGGTGCCCACATTGCCAGCCTATACAAGAAAGGAGATCATAAACACCCTGAAAACGAAGACTGTACTGTAACTAAGATTTCTCATGACAAAATGTCCAGCACTCTGCAAGGTCTCAACACTAATGCCGAACTACTACATGTAACACAATCTTTTGTGCAGCCACCCTCGATTGCAGGTTTTGCACAAGGATGAAATTAACCCATCCATGCCCATCGTTACCCCTCAACAGACGGGCACTAGGCAGCCTTGTACCATTTCATTTTGTCAAGGCATGTCATGGCTGATCCAAAACTTCCCAAGGGAATCCAAGGGATTAACTTTCAAGAGCTTCCCTATGCAGGTGACACATTGATACTTGCCAAAATTGAAGGATTGCGAATGAATGCCTGCATCTCATTGACGCTGAGTCAGAATATTTCCAAATGCTGCTACTTTGCGCATCACCGCCAGAGCAAGGGTCCGTTCTGCAATCCTGAATCGAAGAAGTGTATTGACGAAGAAACATACTTGGAAGCTCAGCGTCACGGGAGAGAATTTTACAGCCCAAAGCACGAAGTCAGAAAGAGGATATCCGCAACGATACGATGGCAGTCCTCAAGACATTTCAACCCACCGCAGAAAAAGTGGAATTGGGACAATTGCCCAACACCTTTCAACTTCAAGGTCTTGGACAGATTCTCAACTACATATACATACAACTTCTTCATTCGACCACACAACTCCAACGAGCATGTTTACAGTTGAATGCACCGGCGCAAGGTTTTGCGTACCGAGATTTTGGAAGACAAGCGCCTCAAACTCTTAGTGCTGAGAAGCGAACGGCAAACCCCATTTCACCAATCAGCCTGTACACTGTACACATTCCGTTTGCCCTACCCAGAGAAACTCAACAATGAAGAGTAGGGGGTCCCGCCCCTGCTGGACAAAAACATGTTGCAAAGGCATATATAGGAAGTAATCAAGCGGAAGATGCTTCTCAGCCACATATTCTTGACACATTTAATTTATCGTGTAACAAGCTCACGAGTCCCGCCCACCTTTTCACAAAGGTCACTGTGTCACTGAGCATAACCCTGCCGAAAAACTCAGTGTGAAAAAGTGTGAGCGGAGCAAACTCTGTGCGAAACAGGAAATTCAGTGTGAGGCAACGGAACTCAGTGTGAAAACCTTCGCACATTTTTGTTGTACATTCATAGGTGCACTCAGTTTAAGGGCTTAGTGAGTTCGGAATAGAGGGGTATTTATTTTTGGATTTTTTTTTGTTTCTTTTTTGGAATTTTTGTTGTTTTTCGTGGCTTCTGGCTTCTGGCTTCTGTGGCTTCTGGCTTTTGTGGCTTTTGGCTTCTGTGGCTTCTGTATCTGTCTATACCTATCTATTTATCTATCTTTCTTTCTTTCTTTTGGCAGCTGTTCTGCTTTCTCTTTTTGTATTTGCTTTTCCTGTTGTTTTCGTTGCAGAGACGAAACAAGCAAGCAAGCAAGCACGAGCTGCTCACCTTTGGATCTGGTGTGCTGCTGGGGGGGGCGCTGCGCCCCCCCCCCA